ACATCATGTGCCCATCGGAGGTTACTATGAGCAACGGTTGGCCACATCATCCAGCGGTGGATTGGACACAGCTCATGTTGACGACGATGACCTCATCGTCGACGTCGTCATCGTCACAGTGGCGAGGCAGTGACACGTCTCCTTGCCGGTTGGCTAAGTACGGCGCGAAAGAAGTTCAACGTGCACACCATTCAAACCACGCCAGATTTCCACGCAGCCGGATCTGTCAATATCAGAGGCTGCCTTGTTTCTATCTGCGCCGTGTCTCATCGCGCGTGGCATTTATGTGCCATGAAGAAGGGCCATATCCCGAAACGTTGCCTATCACATATGCACACGTACCCTTCCAAGGCCACCACGTTATTGACACGGAAAGTGTCACGTGTCGATTCTCTATCGCAAGCGGAATCGCGAGCGGGGAATCGCGAGCGGTGAATCGTGAGCAGGGAATTGCGAGACGCTGCTGGGGGAGATGCGAGCAGGGGGGTGAATTTGAGGTGAACTCATCCACGCGTGGGGTGAGACTCGGCCTGCCCCGGGACCTTCGCCTCTCTTGACCGTCGGGGATGTATTTAGATGCATCGTTATCGATTGCTCCGCCTTGTGCTGAATCGATTCGAGGTCGTAGTTAGAATCGGCTGTTGCGATTTTTGATTATGAATATCGCCCCCCCCCACCAACTCCTCCACCCCCCCCGACCTCACGTCCCATCGCGCCGCGCGAGGAGCCCCGAGCGCATTCCGGGTTCCGGTTCATCTCTCTCTCTCATCTCCCTCCTGGTCATCTCTCTCATCTCTCTCTCATCTCCCCATCTCCCTCCTGGTCATCTCTCTTACATCTCCCTCCTGCTCATCTCTCTCTCATCTCCCTGTCCCTCCTATTCCTCTTAGTCCAACCTCTCCTATTCCCATGTCCTCTCTGCCTCTGCGGTTCCTCTCTGCCTCTCTCCCGACCCTCTCCGATGTCTCTCGCGCTTCACGCGCTCTCATCTTTGCTCCTCTCTCCCCTTAATTGCTCGCTCTCCCGTCGCTCTCTCCTCTCTCTCTTTTTTTACGATCAGAGGAAACCGGAAGATGCTCGGTGTAGTCGGCACTTTGCTTCGCTCATCATTTCGTTTTTTTGTTTTTTCAATGTGCCCAACCCCCCCCCCCCCCCCCCTGTTTAAATGAAAGATTTCACAAAAGATGTCACGCTCTGCTCTCATCCTTCATACCCCTTCCCTCTCTCTTTCTACCCCCTCTCTCTACCTCCCCCCTCTCTCCCTACTCTATGTCTATGTCCCCCCTGTTTTCTATGTACATATTTGGATTTTTTTTTTACAAGTGCTGCATCTGCACCCAGCCCTTCTCGTAGTCCCACGGCCTCCGACGGGTAGTTCAGCTCTGCACGCAGAGCTCCCCGTCTTCTGCCACCGAGCACACGGTCTCCTCCAGCGCCCACTGCTCCTCTCCCCGTCCTTACCCTGTCCTGAGAGGAACGCGCACGCACAAAGACAAAGTTCCCCCTCCTTGTGTAGCCTTTTACAGGTTGTTGGGGCAAGTGCAGTTAGCGAGCACCATTGAAGGCCGGCACGGCACACGAGGGGGTGTTGTGGCCAGCACCACGCCCGACCGCCTTTGTCTCCCCCCCCCACCCCCACTATACGGACCAGACGTTACTTGAAGCAGGGATCTCAGCGGCAGCTCTGTGATGCCCACTTCTGCGGGCCGTTCTCTTGACGCTCTTCGTACTTCGCGAGATTTCCGAAAGCAGATTCGTGGTTAAATTGTGGACAATAACAATGCAGTTCGGTAGATCGCGCGCACACACACAGACGGCCGTGCATGCTGGGCGTTCTTTCGCACCGTACGCAGGCCAAACCGTGCCAAGCGGAGGTGCGACTATGGTCATCTAATCAACGCAACGGGCCGTATATTCAACCCATAGAGACACGCAGACATACAGAGAGACGCACACAGACCCATAGAGGTACACACAGACCCATAGAGGTACACACAGACCCATAGAGGTACATAGATATCCATTAAGGACAAGCAACAGTCATGTTAATTCAGGCCATGTAACCCAGAGGGTGGACCAAGGCCTTAATTATAATAAATATTGGGGGGGGGGGGGGGAGACACATACATAGAGATACATAGAGACTCATAGAGATACATAGAGATACATAGAGACACATAGAGACACACTAAAGACACAAGCCACAGTGTTGCGACTGTGGCCACGTGACCCACACTACGGACCGCGCAGTGAGCCCACTGCGATCTGAGCGCTCTTTCAACGGAGGAGGAACAGCGACACGACACGAACTCTCCGTCTCTGCTGAAGCTGTCTCATGCTGCTCAGCAGCAGCAGGACCTCGACATTGGTATCGAGCTTCTGAGCAAAATTGCTGTCATCAATAACAACAATGCGACCAAAATAATACGAATTATTATTCATCCTCCTGGTTTCTGTTGTTCTGTCCGGCAACGGGCAAGTGACTCACGCTGCCGGATACCCGAGAAGAGGGAACGGGCGTCACCACCCAGAGCTCACTCGAATATCGCTGAACGCGCGTGTGTGTGAGTGTGTGTGTGTGGGAGCGGTAGTGTAGCGGTTAGCGCGCTGCGCTATGAATCTGGCGACCCGTGTTCGATTCCCGCTCACGGCTAACACCAGTGACGATTATCTGAACCGGTCCTGGGCCTCCCCTAGGTCGACTCAGCCTTAAATGAGTACCTGGTGCGGTGTCGCAAACATCGCTACTGGGGAGACAAAGGCGGTCGGGCGTGGTGCTGGTCACCCACCACCCCCGTGTACCGTTCCGGCCTTCATAGGTGCTCGCTAACAGCACTTGCCCCTACAGTCTGTTAAGGCTATAAGGGGGATCTTTGTGTGCGAGTGTGTGTGTGCGAGTGTGTGTGTGCGAGTGTGTGTGCGAGTGTGTGCGAGTGTGTGTGTGTGCGAGTGTGTGTGTGTGCGAGTGTGTGTGTGTGTGCGAGTGTGTGTGTGTGTGCGAGTGTGTGTGTGTGTGCGAGTGTGTGTGTGTGTGCGAGTGTGTGTGTGTGCGAGTGTGTGTGAGTGTGTGTGTGAGTGTGTGTGCGAGTGTGTGTGTGCGTGTGTGTGCGTGTGTGTGCGTGTGTGTGTGTACGCGTGTGTGTGCGAGTGTGTGTGTGTACGCGTGTGTGTGCGAGTGTGTGTGTTGCGAGTGTGTGTTTGTGTGTGTGCGAGTGTGTGTGCGAGTGTGTGTGTGTGTACAAGTGTGCAGGTGGCTGTGTGTGTACGAGTGTGTGTGTGTGTGTGTGCGAGTGTGTGTGTGTACGAGTGTGTGTGTGCGTGCGAACGGTGGCGCAGCGGTTAGCGCGCTGCGCTATGAACCCAGCAACCCGGGTTCCATTCCCGCTCGGGGCCAACACCAGTGACGATTATCTGAACCGGTCCGCGGCTTCCCCTAGGTCGACTGAGCCTCAAATGAGTACCTGTTGCGGTGTGAAAACATCGCTACTGGGGAGACAAAGGCGGCCGGGCGTAGTGCTGGCCACCCACCCCATCGTGTGCCGTGCCGGCCTTCATTAGGTGTGCTACTCGCTAACAGCACTTGCCCCGACAGCTTGTTAAGGCTATACGGGGGATCTTTGTCTTTGTGGCGTCTGGGTTCGTGTCCCGAGCACGCTGCTGCCTCAGCATCCGGTGCCAGAGGGAGAGGAGAGATCACAGAAGAGGAATATGCAGCCACCTTCCTTACGAGGAAGCGAATTCGGTTGAACGGAAGAAAGTCATTATCGTCGTCGTCATTGTCATCATCATTGTTTACGATCAATATATCATTCAATAAGAGCGGGGGGGGGGGGGCTCAAAGATCAGAACATTGTCGTCTGTGCTTTTCTATGTAAGTCTATGGGTCCCTATGCAAGTCTATGGGTCTTTATGTAAGTATATGGGTCTCTATGGAAGTCTATGGGTCTCTATGTAAGTCTATGGGTGCCAATGTAAGTCTATGGGTCTCTATGTAAGTCTGTGGGTCCCTATGTAAGTCTATGGGTCTCTATGCAAGTCTATGGGTCTCTATGTAAGTCTGTGGGTCCCTATGTAAGTCTATGGGTCTCTATGTAAGTATATGGGTCCCTATGTAAGTCTATGGGTCTCTATGTAAGTCTATGGGTCTCTATGTAAGTCTATGGGTGCCAATGTAAGTCTATGGGTCTTTATGTAAGTCTATGGGTCTCTATGCAAGTCTATAGGCCTCTATGCAAGTCTATGGGTCTCTGTGTGAGTATATGGGTCCCTATGTAAGACTGTGGGTTCTCTATGCAAGTCTATGGGTCTCTGTGTGAGTATATGGGTCCCTATGTAAGGCTGTGGGTTCTCTATGCAAGTCTATGGGTATCTATGTGAGTCCATGGGTCTCCGTGTGAAATCCATGGGTGTCTGTGTCAGTCTATGGGTCTCTGTGTGAGTCCATGGGTCTCCGTGTGAAATCCATGGGTGTCTTTGTCAGTCTATGTGTCTCTGTGTGAGTCCATGGGTCCAGTCATAGACAGAGGATATGAAAAAGGTCTGGAGCCTGAATTTGAATTGGGGGACGGGGTTTCCCAGACTGTGGGGGCAGCAGAGAAGAATGAGCAACCCCCTTCATAGAAGAGCATGACAAAAACTGATCATCATCATCAGCAGCAGCAGCCACTATCAATCCACTGCTGGGTGAAGGACTTACATAAAGACGATATCGCCATCTCTCACCATGCTGCTGATGTTGTCATTTTAATTTTTGTAAATATAAAAAAAAAATCGACGAATATTGTGAGCGTGCACACTCACTACTCCGCCTTTGTACGCATGCTCGTCGAACTTCTTTCGCACCGTACGTAGCCGACCGTGCTTTTATCGGCCGCTCGCTAACCTTTGATGTGTCCGCACGCCGCTGCAGGTCGCTTCCAATCTCCTCGCTCAAGTGGCCGCTGCTGTGACCGGCGACTGCCGGACCGACGAGGGCGGTGGTGGTGGTGGTCGTGGTGGTGGTGGTCGTGGTGGTGGTCGTGGTGGTGGTGGTGGTCGTGGTGGTGGTGTTGGCAAAGACGACGACGAAGACGAGAAAGACCGAAGGACGAGCCGATGCCGCCGCCGGCCCGAGCCTCGGCAACGCTCGGAGCATGAACGAGGACGTCTCCAACTTATCGGCGCGCCTCTCCCCCTCGGCCGCGATGATCATGGAGGGCTCCATCGACGGCAGCAACTCCTCCTCGTCCCTGGCCGCCGCCTCCGTGGTGCCCAGCTTCTCGTCGGTGAACCCGTGGGACGTGGCGCTGTGCGTCACGGGCTCACTCATCGCGTGCGAGAACGCCGTGGTCGTGGCCGTGATCGTCCACTCGCCCGCGCTGCGCGAGCCGATGTTCCTGCTCATCGGCAGCCTCGCCACGGCCGATCTCCTCGCGGGCCTGGGACTCATCTTCTACTTCGTTTTCCAGTACGTGTACCAGTCGGACGCGTCGAGCCTGGTGAGCGTCGGCCTCCTGGTCGCCTCCTTCTCCGCGTCCGTGTCCAGCCTGCTGTCCATCACCATCGACAGGTACCTGTCGCTCTACTACGCGCTCACCTACCACTCGGAGAGAACAATGTCGTGCACCTACATCATGCTCGCCACCACGTGGGGCGCGTCGATGGTGCTCGGCGCGTTGCCCTCGCTCGGCTGGAACTGCCTGCGCGACTTCGCCTCGTGCAGCATCATCCGGCCGCTCACCAAGAACCACGTGGTCTTCCTCTCCGTCACCTTCCTCTTCGTGTTCGCCATCATGCTGCAGCTGTACGCGCAGATCTGCAAGATCGTGTGCAGGCACGCGCAGCAGATCGCCGTGCAGCACCACTTCCTCGCCACGTCGCACTACGTGACCACCAAGAAGGGCGTCTCGACGCTTGCCATCATCCTGGGCACCTTCGCCGCGTGCTGGATGCCCTTCTCCATCTACAGCCTCATCGGCGATCTCAGCTTCCCCAGCGTCTACACGTACGCCACGCTGCTGCCCGCCACCTACAACTCGGTCATCAACCCCATCATCTACGCGTTCCGCAACCAGGACATCCAGAAGGCGCTGTGGATCTTGTGCTGCGGGTGCCTCTCCACCAACGTGCCTTTCCGCGCGAGGACACCCAGCGACGTTTGACCGCTGCCTGCCCTGCCCTGAGCCCGCGCGCGCGCGCCCCACCACCCGCCCCGTTGTGCGGGTGGTGGTTGCGTTGGTAGTGGTGGTGGTGGTGGCCACTTTGGTTGTCAAAGTGAGGAGTGGAGGTGGTGGTGGTGGTGGTGGTTGTGAGTCTGTCTGCCTCTCAACGTGTGATGGCTGCTGCTACTGCTGCTACTGGTGGTGGTGTAGTTGTGGGTGGTGGCCAGTTTGTTTCTCAACGTGAGAACGACTGCGTGGCTGTCAACGTGAGGACCCGTGGTAGTGGTGGTGGTGGCACTGCTGATACTGCGCCCGGTGACTCACATTCTCAGCGTGAGAGCTGCATGGTGGTGAGTCAAAGTCTTCTCCCCCCCACGGGAACGCTGTGTGACACGTGTGCCCCACGGACGGACGGAAGGACACACGAGCCAGGAGAGAGAGAGAGAGAGGTGGAGCGATGGGCGGAGAGAGAGACGCGCACACACACACACGATGCCACGGTCACTCTCTCAAACTCCTCGGTGGCGTCACGCTGCCAATGACTCACCCAGCGGATGATGGCGCAACAGATGCCCAGGCTGCTCCTTCACGACACTGAGGGGGCCTCGGAGGTGCAACCTTGAGCGTGGCGTCGTCGTGGTCGATGTTTTTATTTTTTAAAGAGTCGTCCTGCTCCAAAAACAAAACAATAAACGAGCGCGCCCATCGGATGGACACAAAAATATCAAGAAATGTAACGAAACGAAACGCGCCGAATTCAAGAGCAGCGCGAGCGAAACAATCTCGGAGTGCAGCTGCGCACACCTCTCGCCGTGGAATATTTATTTATATAATGTCATTGCATATTTATTGATTTATTTGCTTACCCAATTGGGTAGACCGCGGACTCCCTCTCTTGAAGTGGCGGTGAACACGCGGATTCACCCACGTGCACTCCACGCGCTCCACGTACTGCCACGTGATCCGTGCGTCCCACGTGTGTTCCACGTGCGTCCCACGTGTACCACGTGCGTCCCACGTGTACCACGTGCTCCACATGGTCCGTGCGCTCCGTGTGCACTGGATGGGTGAGGGGGGAGGACGTGGCTTTGTTGTTGAGTGGTCGCTGCTGTCTCTCACAGTCCCGCGTCTCGAGTGAAAATCCGCAGACACGATTTCGCATGTTTGTTGTTGTTGTTGTGGTGGTGGTGGCGTTGTTAGCAAACAAACAAAAAAAAAGCAGGGCATGATTGTGATACTGCAGCCTGTGTCTGTGAAATTGTGGATCTTGGGGGGGGGGGCGGGGGGAAACTAGTATCGGACAAAAACAAGTCCGGACGTTTCTAGATTTTTTTATTTTTCTGGACGATGAACGGTGCTGGGTTCGAGGCGGGTTTTCCATACATCGCGCGGAGTCAGTGCAGATAATTTATTTTGTTTTAAATCATCTCGAGCCTCCTGTAAATCACGTGACTGCTGTGTGGCCACCCCCCACTCCTAACCCCTCCCTTAGGAGTGGAGGGTGGGGGGGTTGACCATACTTCACCACGCTGCTGATCAGTGGGGGTAGATGCATGCCGAGGTGGAGCACATACGACGTGTAGAGCATAGCAGTGCAGTACAACAACCGTGGCGTTCGGCCGCAAGGACTGCTCTCCGCTGATTCCACAGAACTTAGCCCCTCCTCCCTCGGCAGCCTATAATACCTGGTATTGCCACGCGGTGTTGGGTGTTAATGGGGACCACGAGAGCAATTAAAATGTAACAGGAACACTCGCGGAGCCACTGAAACCTTTCTTTTTTGCGTGACCACGCAGGGGAGAGACCACAGCACGAAACCGGCCACAACCCAGACCTCCTGCCTCGTGATGCTTGTCTCAAGGTCAAGTGGTCACAGTAGACTTACACGAAAACGATGTGGTCCATACTCTTTGGTTGTTTCGGTAAAGTCACGTAGGTAAAAAAATTAAATAAATGAAAACAACTGATGACGGACGCTTGTGTTGCGCCCGAAACGTCGTGATTTAATTTAGTTGTTTTCATTTATTTTATTACATTTTTTTCCTTACGTGACTTTACCGAAAAAAACAAAGAGTATGAATCGTTGCAGTCACGAAAGCTTCAAATCTAGAAACGATACAGTCTAGTTTGTATGGTACCAGTTTAAGGCCACACTTGAGCTACTTGGCGCTTTTTTTTGGGGGGGGGTGTTTTCTTTTCTTTCAGAAGCCGTGGCAAATGATCGCCCAGCGAAAGTGGATTATCGCCACCGACACTTTGATTCGTGGTCGCGATTCGAGCTCAGGAGGTCCCCGTGGTGGAGACGCGGTCTCTACGCGTCCCGGTAGATTTTCGCCAGTTTTTTTTAAGTGTCTCTCATGTTAGTCCTGTAGTTCACATTGCGAGGAGTGGTGGAGTGGTGGCGCAATGGTTAGCGCATTGTACAGGGTGCTTAAAAAAATATTAACACTTCTGAGAATTTGCAACAACGCCGAAATAAATGTACCGCCTCCGAGCTCTGGAGAGAACCTGTGAGAGGATCCCAGGCACGCGTTGACAACGCTGGCGAACACGTGGAGACTCTCTTTGACTTTCTAAAGCTGTGAACATTACATTTGTTATCATGTTACAGTGCATTATCCGTTCGTTTCCAATAACGATAGTCCCATGTAAGTGTTTACATTTTGATTGAAAGCTTTCGTGACTGCAGGGATTCATATTCTTGGTTCTTTCGGTAATGTCACGTAGAAGGGAAATAATAATAATAAACATATAAAAAAATTTAAATTCTCACGACGTTTCGAATGCAACACAAGCAATCATCGTCAGGTGTGAAATCCACAGCAAGAAATGTTATTATTTCCCTTCTACGTGACTTTACCGAAAGAACCAAGAATATGTTTACATTTTGTTGAAGCACCCTGTAGTGTTAACCTTCCGGTCTGAGTTCGATTGCTTGCCACGGCTAACATCAGTGGCGAGCAATACCTGAACTAGTCCTGGATGTCAACCCACACTTGACCAGCGTGGTGAAGTATGGTCAAACAAACATCGCCCAGAGCCATCAGCGGATTGACAGAAGTGGCTGTGTGCATTCAAAACAACAGACCAATGAGACGTCAACACGGCTCTCTCTCGCTCTCTTCAATTGCGTGCAAGAGTTAGGCCACATAACCCCCTAACGGAAACCCTTCTTGTAGCGGTGCCGTGCCCAAGCAATTGCAGGGCTGCGCCTTGACCTTTTACATTGGCGATTAGGTCGGGCGAGGAGATGTTAACTACCTCGCCTGGTATGCAGGAGGTCGTAGGTTCGATCCCGACCCTGACGCCTGCTGCTGTATATTTGGAGTTTGCGTGTCTCTCGCTCTCTCTCTCCCCGTGGTCGCGTGGATTTTTTTCTCTGGGTCCTCCGGGTTTTCCTCTCCGCATTAAAAAAATCAACAGCACTGCTGTAGGTGTCCACGTGACCATAAGACAATTTGGTTGTGATCGCCAAGGTTCGCTACTGAAAAAAATTGCTTATAGAGCTCAAGTCAGCCTTACCTGGTAAATAATTATAATAAATATCTTGATTTGAAGTTTTCGTGATTGCAAGGAATCATACTCGTTGGTTCTTTCGGTAAAGCCACGTAGGTAGAAAAATTATGAAATAAAGCAAAAAAATAATATTTCACGACGTTTCGATCGCAACACAAGCGGTGAAAAAATAATATGGCAGTGGAACTGCTGAACCAGCGAGTAAATACATAAATAGTTTAAGTATTCAGTTGCTTTAAAGTGTTGCGAGTAACATTTAATCGCCATCGCCGCTGCTCTCGTTTGGGGCAAAAAAAAAAGAAAAAAAAGCCTCGTGGCGAACCCGCCCACACATCTGATGACGTCACCCGAGTGACGTCACAACAGCGAATCTATGAATAAATTAAAGTCGATTCCACGTGCTCGCTCGACAGAGCACGACGCTCCTCTGCGCGCGTGGGAGCGGTGGTGCAGTGGTTAGCGCGCTGCCCTAGGAACCCGGCGATCCGAGTTCGATTCCCGCTCACGGCCAACACCAGTCACGTTTATTTGAACCGGTCCTGGGCCTCCCCTAGGTTGACTCAGCCTCAAATGAGTACTTTGTGCGGTGTGTAAGCATCGCTGCTGGGGAGACAAAGGCGGCCCGGCATGGTGCTGGCCGCCCACCCCCCTCGTGTGCCGTTCCGGCCTTCATAGGTGCTCGCTAACAGCACTTGCCCCTACAGTCTGTTAAGGCTATACTGGGGAGGGGATCTTTGTCTTTGTACAGAGTGTGTATAAAATGTATATCTCAGATCTATTCATATCACGAGGCGAGACATTTCAGGTTCACGGCGGTCTAAGTAGTGTTTTTCACGGTTTTGCTTTTTGCAGTTTTATTTTGTTGTGGCTGGGAGCGGAGTGGCTCCCTCCTCGTCATCGCGTGGGGTGCAGCCGCAACGCGTCATCGACATCCCCCCCCCCCCACTACCCCCCCCCCCCCACTACCAGAATATATATTCGTGTTCGTGACAATACGGGCTTAATTTAATTGTTATCCTTCCCTTGTACCTCCGATTAGCACGGTTGGCTACGTACGATACGAAAGAAGTTCAACATACACACACGTACGGTCCCGGAACCCTTCCCCGTTATTTCCATGAGCAAGATCAAATTTCTATTTACAGCGTCCTGAAGCGATCGATAATAATGCTTCTTTGTAAGTTATACAACAACAACAACATCAACAATCACAGGAATGTAGAATGCCAATTGATGGAACGCACAATCGATAGAAGCTGGTGTGCTTCGTGCAGGACTCAGCTGAGATGGCGCGCCCCGGTAGCTTTCCTGCGGAAGCGGCAGCAGTAGCAGCAGCAGTAGCAGCAGCTACAGCATTAGCAGCAGTAGCAGCAGCTGCAGCAGCAATAGCAGCAGCTACAGCAGTAGCAGCAGTAGCAGCAGCTACAGCAGCAGCAGCTACAGCAATAGCAGCAGCTGCATCAGTAGCAGCAGTAGCAGCAGCAGCTACAGCAGCTACAGCAGCAGCAGCTGCAGCAGCAGTAGCAGCAGTAGCAGCTGCAGCAGCAACTGCATCAGTAGCAGCAGCAGCTGCAGCATTAGTAGCAGCTGCAGCACCTACAGCAGCAGAAGCAGCAAT